GGGGGAGTCTCCCTGGTGGTCGGGCGCATTGAGGCGCTGGGCTTACGGGTGGCCCTAGATAAGACGGAGGCCCTGTTATTCCATGGGCCCCGTCGTGGTCCACCCCCTGGCGCCTCAATCGTGGTCAACTCGGTCCTCGTACCGGTTCGGGCCCAGATGAAATATCTGGGCCTGATCCTCGACGGGAGGTGGCTCTTCGACGAGCACTTCCGACAGCTTGCTCCAAAGCTGGTTGGCGCTGCGTCTGCCCTAGGGCGACTCTTGCCCAATATGGGTGGACCCAGCGTCGCGACAAGACGGCTGTACACGGGGGTTGTCCGGTCAATGGCGCTGTACGGTGCACCGGTGTGGGCGGCGGCTCTGACCGCCCAGAATAGGGTACGCCTCTGGCGCCCTCAGAGGGTAATGGCGGTCAGAGCCATACGCGGTTACCGCACCGTTTCTACGGAGGTGGCGTGCGCGTTGGCCGGAACTCCCCCGTGGGATTTGGAGGCGGAAGTGCTCGCCGAGGTTTATCGGCGAGTGGCTGACTCCCGGGCGGAGAGCGGATTTCGCCCTCCGCCCGAGGATGTGCGCGAGTGGCGCGAAGCCGCTCGCCGAGCCACGATGGCTCGTTGGTCGTTCCGGCTGGAGACTCCACGCGCTGGCTTCGCCGCCGTGGAGGCTCTCCAGCCGGTCATCGCCGAGTGGGCAGGGCGGCAGCACGGGACCCTTTCCTTCCGACTGACGCAGGTGCTTTCCGGGCACGGTTGCTTCGGAAAGTACCTGCACACGGTCGCTAGGAGGGAACTGAGTCCCGCCTGCCATCACTGCGATTGCAGTGAGGACTCGGCCCAGCACACGCTGGCGGTCTGCCCCGCATGGGCGGCGCAGCGCCGGGCCCTCACTGCAGTCATCGGAGTGGATCTCTCGCTACCGGCCGTAGTACGCTCCATGGCCGGTAGCGACAGTTGTTTTACCGCGGTCGCAACCTTCTGCGAGGTAGTAATCTCGCGGAAGGAGGCGGCGGAAAGGGCCCGGGAGGACGACCTCCACTCGGACCCGATCCGCCGCCGGCGAACCGGGCGGCGGAGGCCCGCCTACCACAGCCTCATGCCGCCCTGAGTGTGGCCGCGGGTGGACGGGGTGGGTTTCCCCTCCACCCGCATTAGTTGGCCAGCCGCGAGGGGGCGGCGTCCGCGTGTGCCGGACGTCGCCTAAAGAGAGGAACATCTATATTGAGACGGAGCCCGCACCAGGAGCGGGCTGGCGCTAGGAGGGGTCCGGATGTCTTAACAACAGCTGTTCCCGGATCCCTCCTGTTACAGGCGCAGAGTGGCACACCGTGTGGTTTTAGTCGGTCCGAGTCCGACACACCACCCCGCCGCAAACCCCGGAGGGGTGACGGTCCGAGGGGATTTCCACACGTTAAAAAAAAAAAAAAAAAAAAGGGTTTGTGTCAAGTTTTCCTTCTCTCTGCAGTGCTGTTGTTCTACGTAGCTTTTTTTATAGTGGCCTTATAACATGATAGCCACACACGAATTTCGTGATCTGGATGTTTCACAGTGACCACAACGCGTTATGAGCTGTCTCTACTCTTAATGTTCATTTTATTGTTTTTGAGAGTAACATGTTATGTATTTCATACATATTTGAACTAAATGAATCCATCACTAATGACTTTTAAACATGTTTTACACGAGTGCCCAAAAATTGACCAGAGATTACAGTGTAAAGTGTATCGTTAGAAGCCTTAAACTATCCCGAATAACACACGCTGCATTAAAAGAATTCAATAAGGGGGCTGTTCGACGACATTTTGGATTTAAATGACATACATACATAAAGATATATTAAGTACTACGCTCACTACTACGCGGAGTGTTGTGGGTTCGATCCCCACATGGGACGACACTTTGTGTGATCCACAAATTGTTGTTCTGAGTCTGGGTGTTCTTTGTGTCCGTTTCATGTATGTTTGTAAAGTCCCCCGCGACACAGGATATATTCCTAATGCGGGAGTTGTCTTTTTAAACAGATTAAAAAAAGAGTTGGTTTGTGTACGCATCAAAAACTCAAAAAGTGCTGCACCGATAGAGCTCTTTGTTTCTTTTTTGTCATCAATGCTACTACAATGTACCACATCGGAGCGTGTCGGGTACAGCAGTATTCACAAATTCAAATATACAATTTTTAACCCCTGACTCAGTCGCCACCCGTTGAGCAACTTACCCTACCACAATCACCTGTAAGTACCACTCTCCTTTGCTTGTTCGTTTCCCAACTACATAGTGCATGTAACCCGATTACATGAGTCGTCGATTAATTTATGAAACATTTTCTTTCGCACTGAATACCGGTGTGCCGGACCGTGGAAGTTACGACTTGTTTCTTAATAACCACTCCCCCACTGGTGCACTTTTAAAGGCATCGATATTTGTTACGTAACGAAAACTGATAATATTTTATTAACTTACTAGCTGACCCGCGCAACTTCGTCTGCGTCTCTCAATAGTAATAAATTTTCTCCGTTTTTGAAACATTCTTCATTGGTGCTCCGTTTCTATTGGTCTTAGCGTGATGATATATAGCCTATAGCCTTCCTCGATAAATGGGCTATCTAACACTGAAAGAATTTTTCAAATCGGACCAGTAGTTCCTGAGATCCTTCAGCTTTATAATATTAGTATAGATGTATGCTTAGAAATAAGGGGGGTAGAGGAAAGGAGAACCGTCTCTGTGTATGAATTTTGTTCGTAAAAATGCGTTAATATGCGCCACCTGCTGTGGTATATTTAAAAAAAAAGCGCCAAAAGTAATAAGATAAACTAAAAAAAAACACGTTTTCTCACAACACTTTTTTGGTTATATTTAGGTACTAAATTATTTTAGACTTCGTAAATAGTTGAGGTTTTGGCAAAGGAAGGAAAATTGTTAAAATTGAACTCGGCACACTTCATTCCGTCTATAACAGCTATGTTTATATCGTAGTTGATCGTAGCCAGCGACCTCTACTTTCAGTATACATATGGACCCTTTTCCCCACATATGAGACGGTTTCACTTTCAACTTTCAATATATTTCGGACATCTAACACACACCATCTAGTTTCAAACTAAGCAGAGCTTGTACTATGGAAACTAGATTGACTGATAGAATACTTATATAGTTTTATACATATTATACATAAAAAAACTCCGAAACAAATATTTGCCGATCATACAAACATTTGGTCCGACCCGGGAATCGAACCCGAGACCTCAGTATAGCAGTCGCATACGCTACCACTGCACCACCGAGGCAGTCGGGCATCTCAAAGGCTTTCATCAAAGACTTGCGTTGTTGGTGTCCATGGGTGCCGATAGCTACTTACCATCAGTAGACCTGTCCGCTCAATTGCCTCCTAAATATAGGCCCAAATTAAGCACTACTATGGGTACTAGAAAACCGATCTGCACGGGCGCACGATTACGACTGCACGGATGGCGTATTAGTTTAAGCGGTCGCCACGCCGCTTCCTACTATGCTAAGTGTTGTGGGTTTGATCCCTGCATGCGCCGACACTTGGTGTGATCCACAAATTGTTGTTCTGAATCTGGGAGTTCTTTGTGTCCGTTTCATGTATGTTTGTCCCCCGCTACACAGGATATATTCCTCGTGCGGGAATTGTTTTTAAAAAAAAGTGTGTTTTTTTATCTCACAAAACCCTATAAAATTCTACGCGAACTAAGTCGCGGGTACCAGCTAGTATTAAATAAAAAGATAAAAATATTCACACTCAAAATATCTTATTACAAATAATGTGTAATGTAATCTATCTCATTCTCTCGCCGACTTAATCCTATACATATGTGTGTTTGTTTCTTTATCGTGACGCATTTTCGTTTCATCGAGTTTTAAATCACAACGATTCCAAAGAACTCACTTTCACTCCAAAAACAAAGATACAGAAAGATAAAAGATACAAATACATATAAGTATTCTTTTTTTGTAAATACGTACATATTGTACACAGAAACACAACCACACACCAAATCAAACATTAAAATGTTCATGCACACACATGTTTAACTTAGCGAGAATCGAACCAGCGACCTTTGGCTTAGAAGTCCGTTACACAAACCACTACGCCATCCGGCCCAGTTAGATAGGTAGTATTTTTTTTTTTGCATAAAACACTTACTAACAAAGACCTGTGACAGGTAGCACTGTAATATTAGCTATCTGTTATGTAGCTATCCATTGGTAAAAGAGTTTTTAAAATCAGCTTAGTGGTTTAGGCGTGAAAGCGCAACAAACATACAAGCTTACTTTCACATTTAAAACATGCTAGCTTATACCAGCGTCTGCGCCCGCATGTATTTCGGTTTTCGCGGGAAAAACTAGCCTATGCGTTATACCCTGATAATGTTTCTTTCCATTGGTTAAAGATTTTTTATAAATTGGTGGTTTCGGCGTAAAAGCGTTACAAACAAAGTCACTTTCACATTTTTGTTATAAGTATGGAAGAATGGATAGTCCTGAATCAACAAAAATTGTTAATATTAGACAAATACTAGCTGACCCGGCAAACGTTGTATTGCAAAACAAAAAAAAATTAGGGATGGGTCACCCTTACCATTTAGGGGTATGAAAAATAGATGTTGGCCGATTCTCAGACCTACCCGATGTGCACACAAAATTTCATAAAAATCTTTCCAGCCCTTTCGAAGGAGTATGGTAACTAACATTGTGACATGAGAATTTTATATATAAGATTGTACTACATGCATTTATAATTATATAATACTCACGTATGACGGACAGGAAACACGCCAGAGGCACTATCGTCTGCATTGTGACACTTACGCACTTAAATTAACTAAAATATGATAATTAAAATTAAAAATGAACTAAATAAAATATCAAAATGAACTAAAAATGCAAATACAACTCAAAATTAACGAATTAAATTTTTTATGCAATTAGTTTTAAATAAAATGTCTGTGAATATTAAATATTGAAAATGTAAGTATCGGGAAATGAGTTCCCTTTGTGCTTGCAACGGTTTGAATGATTGCGCGGCGGCCCTCCTCTCTCGCACTCTGAGGATTCAGAGAGGGGATCACGACGAGGATGTAGTTCCTTGTCCAGATATGAAAGCCTTTATGTAAGATATTAGACTTAGAAATTGTTCTCAATTGAACTGATTTTTGATTTTCTTTGTGTATGTTATTATTATATTATATTATATTCTACCACATTCACACAACGCCATCTAGTCCCAAACTAAGCAGAGCTTGTACTATGGGTACTAGACAACTGATATAAATACATATATACTTTTTTTTTGTAAATACATACATATCATACATAGAAACACCCAGACCAAATCAAACATTAAATGTTCATACACACAAATGTTTGACTTGAGCGGGAATCGAACCCGCGACCTTTGGAATAGCAGTCCGTTACACAAACCACTACGCCATTCGGTTGTCCAAATATTCAGTATCTTTGTCATTTATGGACCGATTTCATTAAGTCCTTTTTTTATTATTTTCGTTATAATAATGATATTTTCACGCATCTTAAACACGGTCTGAATCCAAACTAGGTAGAGCCTGTACTATGGTAACCAGGCTGCCGATAAACATACTTATATATTTCTAAATACATACATATTATAGATAAATGACACCCAGACACAGAACAAATGACCGTGCTCGTCACATAATTATTTGTCCTGGGTGGGAATCGAACCTACGACCTCTGGCGTAGCAGTCAGGGTCACTAACCACTAAACCAACAGGCAAGTCAACAAATACTAATATATTGTGTATAAAATACATCTATACACAGATAATATGATCGTGCTCATCACCCAATACTTGTCCCGGGCCGGCAATCGAACCCAAGACCTCAGCACAGCAGTTGCATACGCTACCACTGCACCACCGAGGCAGTCATATATTATTTATTTATTTTATTTATTTAATTTATTTATTTATCACAAACACATCCTACACAATCCTTACAGGAAACCCAATGCGATTGTGAGGCTACAACTAATATTAAACTAATTTAACACATAATTACATAAATTTAAAATAACAGAAATAGAACTAAAAATGAAAAGAAAGCAAATAATCATACGAGAAGTAAAAATTTAAATATTAAAAGTTATACGATACTACGTTTATTGTAACCCTCGCGAGCTCACTCGAGTTACACGAGAATATATATTATAAATTATGATACTCATTATCTAAATAAATATTATTATTATTATTACCTGAAATTGTAAATACAAGCCAAGTCTTATGGAAAGCGGTAACCGACACACGCAACACCAGTAGCGTAACTCCTGCGGTGACAGTATTCAAGAAGTATAGTAGGCAGACAACACCGTGACTTCCTTTAAAGTGACTTTCAGTGTCAGTTAAGTTAAGTTTCTACAAAAGAATTAGGATTCCTCGTAAAAAATATAAATAAAATCCCGTCAGTGAGGTAAAGCTCGCCTTTTTATAAATATCCCTTATATTTATGATATAATCACAATTGTTTCACCTGTTCTAGATTAAAAAGTGTCGTTATGTAATAAAAAGATTGCAGTAAAACCACTTTCGGTGCATTAAAAGTTACCCGAGGACATCGGTGCAGTAATAACCGGAACCGGTATCGCACCGCCGTAACACCGGTTCGTGAGCCACTGCGTGCTCTACATACGATGTGTCACAGGGAGGTGGGAGGAGGAGGTCACTGGAACAATTTTTAGGGTGATTATTAGGGAAACTGTATCGAAAAGTATTGATTCTTATAAAAGCATTGAAACGAAATTTTTTTTTCCTTTCACTCGACCGCGCTAGAATTGGGATTGTTTTTCGATTATGTGTCTGTATGTATGTACATATATATATATCATCATCACATCAACAGCCTTTAATAGTCCACTGCTGGACATAAGCCTCTCCTTAGAAAGGAGGTTTTGGCTACTTTACTTTACTTTGGTGTCCTGCGTAGTTTGCTCCCTTAGTCGGCTCTTACGACACCCACGGGATGAATTGGGGTAGGGGTAGGTACTCTATATTCTTAATCCATCAAATCTTAGGCAATTCACAATATATATATATATATATATTTTCAGTCGGTTTCTTTGTTTTTTCATATAATTAACTTGATTTAGTTTACGCGATTGCATTTCGTTTCATGTTTAGAATGTAATTGTTTGATGTTTATACATCTATATGTGTAACACAGTTTGTTGGAATTAATGTACTCTCTTTATGTTATCAAAAGACGAAGAAATATTTAAATATGTACGTATTATATTCAGGTTCATCAATATCGTCAGAGCGGATTATCTGTTAAAGTTTAACAGTTCGGCCAGAGATAGCCAGTTCCTTGAACAAGTACGAGTATGTATAACAGCAGTATGTTGTCGGCAGGGCGATCTGCGGTCGCACGGAGTCGTTCCTGTCGCTGCTGCCCCCCCCGTTCCGCCTCCAGCGGCCGCTGCTGGCGCGCGCCGCGTCCGCCGAGGCGCGCAGCCCCGCGCGCGCGCCCTCCTTCAGCGTGTGCTGGTGCAGCACCACGCCTGTCAGTTTACTTACTTTATCTTATCAACTATTATTTACACGCATTTACACTATCCGTGTGGTGACGGATTAAGAATACAGAGTATCGCCACCCCTATTCATCCCGTGGGTGTCGTAAGAGCCGACTGAGGGAGCAAACTACGCAGGACGACAGCACTGCAGAGAGAAGGAAAACTTGACACAAACACTATACCGACCCGTCTGGACAGCGTGGTATAGTAGGACAAAACCTCCTTTCTAAGGAGATCCCTATGTCCAGCAGTGGACTATTAAAGGCTGTTGATGTGAGGTGATGATTTACACTAACAAGATGGGGATCATCCATATATTACGTCACACGTTTTTATTTTAACTCCACACCCGTCTGGTCACATTGGTGAGACGTAATTTTATGAATCCCTCCCTAGTGTGACATTACACATGACAGTTACATATTTTGTAATTACATCGAGAAATAATTAAATTAAGTTTTTTGAGACCTACATGTATGTACACTTACGGATAACGCTGTGCTCACCTTTAATTTAAAAGCATAAACCTATTGTATGAATGTTTTGTTGTGAAATATCTAGTATGTAAAAAAAAATAACAGACACAAACACAAATAATTCAAGTCCAAATCAACCGTATACAAGAGTCACCGTCAAATCAAACATTTGAAAAAATAGCTTAACTACAACAAGGAATTATACTACCGTTAATAATTTCCAATTTTGCGTTTTACTAATTAGATATATTAGGTTTTAAAATGTGCCATCGCTAAACTTGGACCCCTTCGACTCCTTGTCACATGATGTCACACGTACTAACAGTACCTTAATTTTCAACTTTTTATTTTTCTCTGATTTTTTCTTTACATGTGCTGTAAGACCTTGCTTTTAACTAAAATTAACAATTCTAGGTCTACCGGAAGTACCCTATAGATTTTGGGTCGAAAACCTATAAGGTAGCTCCCGTTGACCTAGAATTACGAAATTTAGCAAAAAGATACGTCTTACAGTACAAATAAAGGAATAATTCCCATAAAAATAAAAAAGTTGAAAATTAAGATAAATTTTGGTATTTATGTAAAATCTGGGTAGGTAAGGAACCCTCGGCCCACAAGTTCGACTCGTACCTGACCGGTTTTTTTTCTAGATAAAGTTGTCATACCCTTGACTAATGATTATAAAAATGGTTGTTGCAGATGCCGGAGGTGATCAACGCGACGACGGGCAAGCTGGAGAGTGGGCAGCCTTCACTGCTGTGTAAGCAGAGCATGTTCGCGAGGTGGCAGTACCTCGCGCAGCGGCTGCCGCTAGTATCGCAGGTACCCGCTTACCTTACACATTTCCCTTAGCCCATAGCTTACGAAAGTCTCTCATTACAATAGCGAAATGACTGCACGAATGACTAAGTTTGAGTGGTCGCCAATCCGATTTCTACTGCGTTGAGTTCACTTTGTGTGATCCGCAAATTATTTTTCTGAGTCTGGGTGTTCTTTGTGTCCGTTTCATGTATGTTTGTAAAGTCCCCCGCGATGCAATGCCCAAACTGAGTTACCGTTGCCTAGGGATGGACGTAGTCACTTTTCATCAGATAACCCGTACTCTCATTTGCCCCCTAAATCGTAAAAAACCTTCAAATAACTCAATAAAAGAAATATAATAAAAATGTATTGCAATCAAAATTGAACTTTATTCATATTTCATAAGATCTGATATTTATGTAAAGGTGCGCCATCTACTGTAGGATTCTTTAAAGTGTTATCTCCCAAGTATGTCTCTAACAGACTCACCGCGAGGTGGACTCGCACGCTAAACTGTTGCAGGAGACCGAGCCAGGAGTCGAACCCGCGCACCTGCCGCAGAACCTGGACGGGATGCTGTACAACGAGGCGAAGCAACTGTGCCCTACCTACCAGGTTGGTTCTTTTGTACAAAGTTATATACAAGGAGATTCATGCTTTGACTACGACCTCAGAAGCAAAAACCACACAGTGACGTTACTGGAGCCCAAAACTTCTCTTCCCATTATTTCTGTACACTTCTCCCATTATTTCTCTCTTCTCAGTGTACACTGTATTTTCTAAGGATACATAATGCTATTTTGCTACTCTAGTAATAGCAAGAGGATTGGACTGTAATTAAATAAGAAAATTCACAAGTCAACGTGATCTCTTTTTGTTTCCATCCCTTCGTTAATCCTAATTCACCGTACACCTTCCACAGCTTGCCAAGACTCGTCTGATAGATGCCTTCGAGAAGGCCAAGCTCGGCCGCTGGATCAAGAAACCCATAGAACAGGATCAGTTCGTCTGCGAAATCACTAACGCTGATCCTAACGCACTGTTCGCTTAGGCGGGTGTGTATCTCCACGCGTGGGACTCGATGGCAAACGTGGTGGGGACGTCTGGGCAATGTCAGAATGATGGTAAACAAACTAGGCTTTTATGTAAAACTATTAAGAATGAAAGTGGGAAAAATGTTGATGATTTTGACCATACGGGTAGTGGGTTAAGTGGAGATGGAAGTCCCATTGGTGATGATAATAAATGTCGTGACAATGATAGTGATTTAAATGATGAACAAACGAAACCTTCAAATGAAAGTAATTTGTTTGATAGTAACGTTGAAGACGCAACAAGACAGTCAAAAGCCGAAGACACAGAAACTTTTAGATTATTTCATGACCATATAAATGAAAATAAATTAAATATAAATGAAAATAAATATAAAATAAAAACAATAAGTACACCAAATAATAAAATATTGAAAGTCAGCACGTACATTCAAAATTCTGCACAATTTACTTATAATAATAATAATAATGTTAGACAATTAAGTAGTAGCTCTACGATTAACTCTAATACTAAGAATAACTTAAAAACAATCAACGATACTAAAAGTATTACTAAATGCGATAGTAAACTAATCACTAATGTAGGAGCTGCATCTCAAAGCGACGATGAATACGTACCAGAGTCAAATATTTCTAGTAATAACCAAAGCTTAGTAAACAATAGTTATTTAGTAAGTAAGCCCACTAATATTAGTAATAGTAGTTTTGGCCGATCACGCGGAAGGTCAAATGTATTGCTACACAGCAAAGCAATTGTTGGTAACAATTTAGTTATAGGTAATAGTTTAGGTGTCCAAAATAATAGTCGTATCGTAGGTGATGACGTTGATGATGATGAATGTGATGATCGGATAAGAGTGAAAGAGGAAAGTGATAAAAAATCTTTGATAGAAAAACAGCAAAGTTTACATAACATGAGACAAGACGATGATAAAATGGGACGGAACAAGCCAACGTGGGTTAATAATTTTAAAAGCATTTCAGAGTATTTTGACACCAAAGATGGGAAAAATGGTAATGATGATCTCATGAAGTCAACGTATAGGCTAAGGTGTAAAAATTTAGATAATACCATAGATAGAGCAGTCGGAGATGTAGAAGATAACATAGGGATTGAGAAGTCAACAAGAGAAGTAAAAGAAGACATGAGTCGATTGAGACCAAATATAAATAAATTTAACTTGTATCTAAATAGAGTTAGAGATATTAAATCGTTAAGTTCATATATTAAACTTGGCACTCATTTCGTTCCTAATTTTAAAGTTACTACAACCAATACTGATTCTCGAGGAATTGTTTTTAATGAAAACAAGGATAATGATATTAACAAATGTCTTAATGATTCACTTTATCAATATAATTCCTTAGGTAATGAGGAAATTTTAAATCAAAACACAAAAATCACAAAAACGGAGAATGCACAAAACGCAATAAAAAGCACACTATTATTAGGAATAATTAATATTAATGATCAAATAAAATAGTTATAAAACTATTTTAATTTGATGGAATAATCCCACCTCTAATTGAGCTTTAGTTCCCCCAGGAGGGGCACCTGACGGCTAGAACGATGCACTAGCGCCATCTAACGAACTCAGTTCGAACTTTTTGACACTTGGTTGTTTTGGCGCGTCTGTCAATTAAATGTCAATTTAGAGAGTATAAAATCAAACCTGTGTCATCCATTTTGAATGGGTTTGAAAATGTAATTTGAAACAACTAAAACTGATGCTTAAAACAAAAGAAAAAGAAAATGCGACGCAAAAAAACGTAGTTGATTGAAAGGAATTGCGCACGTTGTTTCTTGAGTTTTACGTTTTGACTTGACATATTATGCATCTCATTCGCGCTCATTGAAATAAACATAAGAGAGAGAGAGAGAACTTTAATCACATTAATTGTGTTATTTGAACTTCTTTACTCTTGTCCGACTGTTTCTTGGAACGGACAGGGATTAAGTTAATTCTTGACGCCTCCAAACATATATTAACATTTTGTTCCTTCTTTTTTCTTACTCTTGGACTCTCAAAATACCACCAAGCCATATTTTTTTTCAATACTTTTTATATAATCAAGGCAGCATCCAATAATGATGGTGTTTCCCCTTTCAATTTGAACTATGAGTTTTTAGTTAGTAAATAGATTATGATGAAAAGAACACGACGGGAATTTGTACTAGTGTTGTTTAAAATTGACCGGAGTTTTACAATTGTGCTCTTATCAAATAAAATAAGGTTAGCATTTGAGTTTACGTAGTTAATGGATACCTCCCAAGTGTCATTTTTTTTCAACATTTATTTTATGTAAATAAACGCTGTAAATTGATTAATTTGTTATATACTAGTCAATAGCAATAATAATTGTCAACTACACCGGTACATGGCCATAGTCTCGATATCTGCAACTCTAATGTTATACACTTAATGTTGTTTTTAAAATTACTTCAATCACTTCAACTGATGTGATATAAACATTACTAATTAAAAAAAGGAATCCTACATCGCACAATCGGAATTTTCACAGTTAACTTGGGTTACAATCACTGGTGATCACGTTTACCGATGTATATTAGGTGTTTATTTATTTACTTGTTTAGTATTAGAAATAATTACATAATTCAGTTAAATTCCTGGATATCCCCACCACAGCCCAGCTTCAATATGAAAAAATAATGATTTCTATCAAAGCATTGTGAACTTTATTAAAATTAAAATAAGGAACAGTATTGCATTTTATATTTATTTGTTGTATCATTAACATACGTAGGTAGGTCTTCGACTGATATAGTCTATCTCTCTCACACGTACAGGGGGGGATGAGATAGAACGCTTTGGTAGATCATTGGTATAGCGCCGGGCACCACGCGGCTGGTACAAACCAACCTTGGTAGCAGAAGTTTATGTATAATGTAAATATGTATTGTGAAACTGTGAGCAATTCTATGTTTGATTTTGAGGGTAGTTGGAAATTAATTATTGATTTTATTGGTGTTTGGACTACTGAGCGATGTTTGTTGTGGCAACTGACTGGTAATTAATATTATTTAACGGGAATTAACGCGATCTCTTATTTGGGGTATTACATACCTCTGGTTTGCCTGACGTTTCGACCAGGTTGCACCGGCCGTGGTCACAGGCTGACTCTGACCTGTCAGAGATCGATCGATCAGAGATCGCGTTAATTCCCGTTAAATAATATTAATTATCATGGAACGCGAAAGTTTAAAAGTTAGAACTGACTGGTATAACGGCCGAACGGTGTTAGGCCAACCCTGTCGACGACAGGCTAGGATAGTTACTGAAGTAACACATGTGTTGTAGAAGCGGATATTTCGAGTAGTGTTGTGCCGGGTCTTTGAAAATATATATCAGCGGATACGCATTCCTCGATAGCCTCTAGTTTATTTTCAATTAATGACCAAGTAACGATAAATTTCTTAATATAACGCAACATATTTTGTGTTTTTTTTTTTATTATTTTAATGCACATTATCACAATAATTTTGAACCTTTGTGATACAGATAGTTAGTGCCTTTATTATTTGTAAGTGCCTTACTGATTATATTAACTTACTACATTAGATTTCAAGATGCGTCAAAAATGGATATCCGCAGATAGAGTTGCTGTATCCGGCACGTCACTAGCGCGTATATTCTCTTCTCTTCTTTATGTATAACACAGTTCCTAAAGACATTTTTGATTGTTGTTTTTAGTTTATTTATTTATGTAAATTAATATATTGTGTTATATTATATCGTGTCAATCATTGGTTATATCCGTTACAAGTATAAACATACCGTAAATATAACAAAATATATTGTGATTAAAGTGTACAGTAAACAAAAATACGAACTTTTTTCAATATTGTTGCAGTTAACCGATATAAAAAAAAATGTTATTGCAGCCATAAATTTGTCAATTGTATCTTTAATGTAATCGTAATTTTGGCAATTATATTTTGAATCTAGTTCTGTAATTAAATAACAGATGGCGTTATTGTATCTTGTAGTTGCCATACAGCTCAACAGATGGCGCTGTCCGGTTCTTGCTCACAATAGATTATGAATCATCGGTGACATACAATTGCTCATTGTTATAAAGATTTTGTTTTGTAATAAATATTGGATTTAGTTTTAAGTACAAATGTGGAATGAAATTATAACATTCAGCCAACGATATTAATACAGTTAAAAGCATTTCAAAAAACCCATTGATTTTAAGGCGCCTAGCCTTAAATCAATTGGTTTTTTGAAATGCTTCTTTATGGAGTCTATCGCTTATCTTGACACCACCCAATCGATAAAATTACAGTGTTGGGACTCTATCGACGGTAAAATTATCGATAGGGTCAATATATTATGTATTCAAATTGTTTTTAATAATCAGTTTAAGAAAGTAAAACAAAAAGTATTCGTTGATTGGATGTTATTTTATTTTAATAAATGTCGCCCGCGGAATGTTTACTAGACGTGAGAATGATTCCAAATTATTGTTTATTTTTTATATATTATTTTCGTTCGTGACATAAATGTATTGTGTTGTGTTTAATTGAGTACTTGTTTTGAGAAAATTATGTGTTCATGATATTAACGGGAATTAACGCAATCTGTCTCTCAATGACTCAGTCTCTGCTGCCTCAGGCAGAGACTGAGTCTTCGTGAAAGCAAGTCCAACTTCACGCGAACTATTCAACTTGGTCGAATTGTAAATCAATTCAAAGTTATATGTGTTACCTCATCATCAGCTTTTACTATTCCACTGCTGGACATAGGCATCTCCTTAGAACCTGATCGCGTTAATTCTCGTGTATGTACATAATGTTGTGGAGATCCGCGGGCATCGTGCGCCGCGTGTCCTGAATGTTAATATTTGTGTTCATTGTAAGTACCGTGTCTCAGACAACTGAAGGAGGTGACCGACTCAATCACGTCAAGTTGTTAATTACTTCTTGTTTTTAAAGAGTGTTAAAGAAGTATAATAATACATTAATATTATTTAACGGGAGTTAACGCGATCTCTTATTTAGGGTATTACCTAGTCAGCCTGTGACCACGGCCGGTGCAACCTGGTCGAAACGTCAGGCAAACCAGAGGTATGTAATACCCTAAATAAGAGATCGCGTTAATTCCCGTTAAATAATATTAATTATCATGGAACGCGAAAGTTTAAAAGTTAGTATAATAATACACTTTACGTTCCTGTGAACCCATAACTAAGCTAAATGTGTCAAGAACAGCTGCCGATCCAGCTTTTAACTTGGGGGAGGGACCTTGGGTGAGTAATGTTATTGGGTTGGGTTCGAGCCTGCGACATCTTAATCGAAACCTTTGGCATTATTTTACATCTGATTAAAATGTATGAACAGAGAGTATAGTAATGAAATTAATCGCACCTTAAATATAAGATGTGGTTCAATTTTTTTTTATAAATAATCTGAAGTGATAGTGACATCATAATAGTTACCATCTTATATTTGAGTGTCGTTCGTGTGCTTATAATGTCACTGAGCTAAAAACTATCGATATCGATAAATTGTTTGAAATTTTAAATGGTCTCCCTAATCTCGCCTGTCGACTGAGGCGCGGTACAGTTATACTATACCTGCATTAAATTATTACCTGCTGATAAGACAATTGTTAATAAATTTAAATAAATGTTCAAGTTTTGTGCCGTACTCTAAACAATTTGTATATCTTGTATACTGTTGACACATGTTATAGTCTTTCTCACGTTCTCTCTTCCAAGATATTTGTGTGAATTATTTGTAATATTATGTCAAAGTAATATATATACACCAATTTCTGTTTATTTATAACATAAGTGGAAATAAATCCTTTAATTATGATTTGCCTGTTTTTTTAATAAATGAGGGTAGTCTCATGAAAGTAACGCCGACTCCTAACAGCAAAATGTTAGGTTTTGGTAGATCGTAAACCGTAAGACTCGTCTGGTCAGCGTGGTATAGTAGGCCAAAACCTCCTTTCTAAGGAGGTGCCTATGTCCAGCAGTGGACTGTTAAAGGCTGTTGATGATTGATGTAAACCAAGAACTGTCAAAATAGGTGAGGTGGTATCGACAAGTTGTGACAAACGACAGGTGATGAAATGAAACGAATTGAATATTTTGGCACAAAAGTATAATATTTATTGATACAATAAATTTTAGTTTATGCTAGACTTAGATATTTCATCTGTATTGAAGGTCGTGAGCATTTTTAACTAACATCCAAAAAAGAAGGAATTTATTATCTTAGAACTCTATAATTTAAACCAATTTATTATTTGTCTTCTTATTTGAAAAGGCTTTTTGTTTGATTCCATTGAAATAAAGTAAAAAAAATACCTCCCCCTAAGGGGGGACAAGAAAAGACTTTGTCTCTTAAAATAATTTTATTGCACTTCTGGAATTCATCGAGAAATTATAACTATCACTATTTGAAATTATTCCTTAAATATATATAACAAATAACTGTTCTATAAGATAATAAAATTTATTCACAAAATTTAGTAGCAGTGTTGCCAACTCATTTAATTTTCCCAACTATTGGGGATTTCTTTATGGCAAAGAGTATTTGGGTTTATAGGGAATAAAATATTTGGAATCAGTTTCCTAATTAATTTGTTTATTATAGACACTAAAAACAATAAAAAAAATTAAAACATGTTCATATTTTTGTCTTTTAAACACTTTTTCGTAGCAGTCTATGTTTAAATGAACCTAGCGAGAGTATCTCGTTGTCCCTTAAGAAATACAAAAAAAAAACAATATTATATACCTACCTACTTAACCTAACATATTTGTTCACAGCAGCGGAGACAACAGCCAAACAGGAAACGAAACACATTATTTTATCATAAAGATTAACACAATTTATTTACCATAGAACATGGAATTTTAGAATATAAACTGTTTTATAATCGACCACGCTCGTGTCATCTCTATAACTTTTATCTAAGGTCTTAGATATTTACAGATATGTGACGTCATACGCCATAAAAAAAACACTATCACAAGCAATAATTCGGATTAACTAATAGGTATATCTTATTTACAAAAGTAAATTATATACAAGGCGTAAGGGACATCGTACCATATACTGAAATAGTGTATTTAAACTATGATTCTGAGTCGAAATCATTGGAATTGTCTGCTGGAACATTCATCATTTTTTTTTCTATATTTCTGGTTAAAAATGATGAAAAGTGATATCACAATGTAGGCAGACATTTTACCGAAAACCATTTAATAAAAACCAAAAAACTGCAATGTAATTAATCAAACAGTAGAAGCGCACGGGGCCTCCCCTCCGGCTGCCGTTTGGTATTAGTTTGCGTAGACTGTTTGCACGGAATATACATGTAGTGATTACTTTTGTGCGATACCTACGGGGAATGACCTTAACCTTTGACAGCTGATTGCATAAAACGTTTAATTTTCCGGCAGAAAATTCCAATGATTTTCGACTCAGAATGATGGTCTGAATACACTATTTCAGTATTAGTTTCGACGTCCCTTACACCCTGTATAGTTAACAAATTACTAGTAAAGTTAATCACTCCACCTAATAGTTACCTTAAGGGTAGGTTTCCATCGGTATTGCACTGGATGGCGATGGAAGCCGCTACCACTTCACTGACACTGTCTTTGACGTGTGTGCAACATTGTTTCTACAATAATGAGCCAAGTGGTTAAAATAGCACTGTTCATTTTAATATTTATATAAGACTAGCTACTGCCCGCAGTTTCGCTCGCGTGATGATTTTAAATCTCTAAGTAACTCAGAGCCTAATGAAATAAAATAATATTTTCACACATCTCACACACGGCTGTCTGATCCCAAACTAGGCAGAGCCTGTACTATGGTAACCAGACTGCTGATAAACATACTTATATATTTCTAAATACATACATATTATTAAAAAAAATACACCCAGACACAGAACAAATGACCGTGCTCATCACACAATTATTTGTCCTAGGTGGTAATCGAACCCACGACCTCTGGCATAGCAGTCAGGGTCACTAACGACTAAACCAACAGGCCAGTCTGATAAATGAAATGATATTTATTTGTGTAGTTCAGACATTTTTTACTAGTCGGACTTTACCTACAGCTAGAAGGAGCCGCCATTTCCTAAGATTCACTCTGGAAAGAAACGTCGAAACCAACCACAGAGGTGTCTTTTGTTAGTCCGTAAACAAAGTTAAATAAAACTGTGCGAGTACAGTATAGGGTCTGGGCAGGCCTTTTGAAGAAAGGACCATAGTTTTGAGTCGGCCTGTCCATACAGACGGCATCCTAAACCACTGGGGCTAAAAACTTCTGAATAAAAATTTCACCCCTAAGAAGTTCAAATAAGGGATGAACAAATAACGGTTGTGTTCGTCATTTACAAAGTTAGAAACACGAAGAAAAACGAACACAAAAGAAAATCCTGCAAGTTAAACTGTTATGTGAGCCGTGGTCCATAACAAACGTCGTTTAAAATATAAAAACGCACTATTAGCTGTGTTCGTATCTAGGAAGGAGTCGTCCGACACCGGCACTGGTTGATCGCGTCGTGTATGGTGTCCGTGAGCTCTGTGTACAGCAGACAGCTCCTGCTGGAAGGTTTGCAGATCTCCCGGTGGTCCACGGACACGCCGTGGAGGGAGCCCACTCCAGCATCTACAACAATGCCTAACGTTAATGAACTATTCCGTGGTACCTTTTAATCCTGTGGTGGTCTTCTGTTCAGTGTCAATTGATGTGATGTCTACCGGGGATATTGGTGAGGCCGAATGAACAACTTAAACTGATTAGCAGTGGTAAGCAGTCATACCGAGCGACCTCACGAGGCATCAGGTAATAGCGTGAGCTTAAAACGACTGACTCACTGAAGACGGCAATTTCACGTCATCTTTGAACTATTACGTAATTAATTGATGCGCCCTTACAAGCCAGATAATAGTGCTTTAAGCTTTCCATCGGCAGATTTCATCAATCCAAGTGTGGAAGTACCTACCCAGATAAGAAGGAAATAGCGTAAGAATAACACCTGGAAGTAGAATAAGAGCACTCACCTGCGGAGTCGACGCTGACGATCCTGAGCCACAGCACAGACATGAGGGTCCGGCAGGTCTCCACAAGGCTCCTCACGACGGGACGTGAGGAGCGCGTGGCCACCAGCCATCGATCCTGCAGCTCCAGCACCAACTGACAGTCTAACCAAAGATATATTGCTATTAATAGGAAATTGTAAAGAGTGACATACAGAAGAACTTATTAATATAATAATATTAACTAGACACATCTCACTCACGGCGCCGTCTGATGTCAAACTAGACAGAGCCTGTACTACGGTAACCAGACTGCTGATAAACATACATATTATAGATAAATCACAACCACAAACAGAATAAAGAAATGCGCTCATCACATAATATTTGTCCTGGTGGATCGAACCCACGACCTCTGGCGTAGCAGTCAGGGTTACTAACCACTAGACCGATAGCCCCTTTCTGCCATGATTTGTGGTCGTGCCAGGCTGATTGTGGCCAACCTAGAGAAGTTTGTACGGAAGGCTTGTCTTCGTAAAACAGTACTGAATGGGTCGATGTTCTGTGTGCTGGTTTCTCTTAAGATGAGGAATGTCAAGGTAAGAATATTGATATGGTATAAATAGCGACATTAGTGTACCCTCTGTTTCTCTGTCCTCTCTCTCTTCTCTCTCTTTCTTTATCATCTCTCTCTCCTCTTGCACACACTAAATCTACCATTATTGCCATCACCCTCACTCTGTTTGAGCTTTAGCCAAGTAGTGAAAACTTACCTTTGCTGATCTCCAAGAGCTCAACACTCCTAGAGGTGATGGGAGTCTTAATAGCAGCAAGGGGTGACCCTCTGTGAGGGACCGAGTAGAACATGAAGCCGGCGCTCCGCTGCCATAGAGATGACCTGGTCTCCAGAGCGTGCATATCTTCTGAAAACCATAGCATTTTTATATTTGTGTAGGCCTCTCCTTAGAAAGGAGGTTTTGGCCTACTATACCAAGCTGGCCAGACGGGTTGGTATACGGTTTGTGTCAAGTTTTCCTTCTCTCTGCAGTGCTGTTGTTCTGCGTAGTTTGCTCCCTTAGTCGGCTCTTACGACAGCCACGGGATGAATAGGGGTAGTGATACTCTGTATTCTTAATCCATCAAATCTTAGGAAATTCACGCAAATTGTAGTGTTTTTGGAGGAACGGGTGTCATGTTCTCCAACACAAAGAACAGAAAATCCTCCGACTAGACGAGGTGATCATGCCTGGCACACAAATTGAGGTAAAAAGTGTGTTAAAAAAACGCACAGCGCCAATTGGTGAAGCGCCAATTCTCCAAGTGACGGGGTTGAAAATTTTGCCGTGTGGACCGATGGCGGAAAGTTGCGGCCGGTATTGGCCCGAAAAAATCCTCGGATACCCAAATAATTCTCAAAAGGCGTACCCAGAGGTAACGCACTCGTAACCCTTGAGTTGTAGATGTCCGTAAGCGAAGGTGGTCACTTTCCATCAGGTGTCCAGCCTGCTCGTTTGCTACCGACATCATAAAAACAAACTTACCTTTATTATCTGAAGACACAGTCAGTGTAACAGTATCATTTCTATCATCGCTCGTGTCCAAATCATCAGTTTCATCGCCATTGTGTACACTTATGTTGATAAATTCTTGATCATCAAATTCTCTATCACTGACCCCACAGCCAACTGTGTGATCATCACTAAAATTATTTAAATTTATGTCCGTATGTTGTAAATTGTTTGCATTTTGTGTAAAAATTTCGTTGTTGTCCAAATTTTCATTGTTATTCGTTGTTTTTTCATCGTTTTCTATATTTTTGAATAATTCATTATTTCTTTCAATCGTTACACAAATATTATTATTATTATTTACTAAAGTATTACTATTACCGTCTTCTTCTCTTATTTTTTCATTTATATTTTTATTTGTTTTTATGTAGGCTTCGTAGGCTGTAAATATAAGTTCACATATGTATATATTTATATAATACCAATACAATCGATAGCAATGAATTCGGGTCACGTAAAGATGCTTGAAAATCTTGGACATATATTGCGTTTAAGTTTAGTACTGTCTAAATACTCCTTAAATGAACGTAATAGAATTCATCTGATACTTCATAAAGAAACCGTGAGGAAATAAATAATATCAATCTGATTTTATAAATAGAGCACATTTTTGTTTACAACTTTTGTGTTAGCTCCACGTAACCCATTTTTTACAATGTTTTAACCTCCCTCCCTCCCCTCCATGTGACCATCCGTAGTGAGGGTTGCCAACCATACTGGTCTTACATACACTTACACGTATCGTTCTTTATTTCTGGTAAATAAATATACTTTATACTTCTGCACAAAATAAAAATATCTGAAAATACTTTATTTTATAGCATGGAACATTAGAACAAAGAAAAACTGATAATTACTTTGACTAAGCATTTAAAAATAAGTAATTTTACACGTTTTATTGATATGAGTTTAAGTTATTTAAAAATTGATTTTATATTAGTGGAGATTAATGGTTTTCAATATTTATTTACTTAAAAAATTAGGTAGAAATGAAACATTTTAAAAAGATAATCTCAAAGTCCAATCTAATACACAAGGGAGATTTAATATTAATATGGATGATTTATATTCCGAGTAAATAAGAGAGAAAGAGGGACAAAAGAGTTCTACTAATAACGATTAAGAATTTTCAGACGCAATACTATCGATAAATGGCAAAAATGCACCCGCCTACCATGTGTAAACAAGATTATTTCTTATTTTATAAAATTTAACTTCTGAATGATGAAAGATCCAAAAATTTAAACATTATGAAAAACAGTTATTGTGAGCACTCAATAAAACAAATAAATAAAGATTGAAAATACTTTCTGTAACTTTTTTTTATGGAATAGGGAGCAAACGAGCAGACGAGTCACCTAACGGAAAGCGACTACCACCGCCCATGAACGTCTGCAACTCAGGAGTTACAAGCTGCCAGCCTTTGAGGAAGGAGTACGCTCTTTTCTGGAAGGTTTGAAGGTCGTATCGGTCCGGAAATACCGCAGCCGATAACTTGTTCCACAGATTGGTAGTGCGAGGCAAAAAGTGTCTTGAAAGCGCACAGTGGTGGAGCGCCAATTATCTAATTAAATACTTAATTTATTTCCCCATTTTAAAAATAATACGTTATTTTTTTTCAAACATATTGCAACCTTGCCCTTAGAATATGCCAAGAGAAAAAATATTTGTCTCTATTTGAACATAGCTCGACAACGCACGAGATTTTCCTAGAGAAACGAAAACCTAAGCCCTCCTCGCTTTTGTGACCAAGAAGTATTCTAAAGAACTCCCCTCCTCCCTTAACTTATACAGTTTGGCAAGTTGTACGCTAAGTTAATAATACAATGTTAGCAAATATTTTCCTACTTCCAGATAAGAACAGTTTTGTGCTCTCAAAGAGTGATCAAAGGACGTGAAATCGACCCGGTTTCATTGCTCACGAGTGTATATACCTATTTTGCTTACCTTGACAATAAATTTGCTTAATAAATAGTCCACCCTTGGAATGTCCGACCCATATGATAGGTCTCTTTCCCACTCCTAGATATAGTAACTGTTCTATCATTTGTTCTGCTCTCTCGTGCAGGCGAAGTCTGGAATTGTATATTTAAAGACATTTTAGATTGTTGGGTCTTTAATAGGGATGGAAAATGATCGCAATCACCTGTGATAAATCATATGGATTGAATATAATCACACCTGTGACCAATTTACGAAATCACTGCGACTTATCGAAAAGTTCTAAATCTATAAAAAGGTTGTAGTATTTGGTATTGTTTCAATGCTTAAGTTTTGATTCCATTTATGTCTATGACCAAATCCCAGTAGTGATTTATCACGGGCGAAATAGCAGTGATTAAGAGCAATCACATCATCATATGATTTAAAAGTATCAATATTTTCCAACACTTGAGTTAAAAGTTTTCTTGTTCAAGCGTCGACTCGACCGGAGTGATATCCAAGCCTCCCAGAAAACCAGTGTTAAGGTATTCTTTAGTTACTTTCACCGAGTGACTAAGGTAATTGGAACCTCAGACCCCCCTCCACCAACTTGGGGGCAGCTTTAGATACCCCTCAAGTTGGGTGGGGGGGGACTCAAGGGCCTCCTATACTATCAAAAAAGTTAAATAAAAGTAAGGGAAAGGGTACTTCCCTTTATTAATCAAAGTAAAACATATCGTTTTCTAGTTATATTGAAATAGTCACGTTTATAAAGACATGTCGGTATATTTAGCTTGTGACGTGTTCGTCCACGTGTCGCCAACAATGTATTTAACCACGTGTCGCCAACATATGTTATGTTAATATGTACATATGATGAAGTTATATCTTTATATATATATAATTCTTCTGTGAGTGTGTATGTCACTGAACTTCTCTCAAACGACTGGACCGATTTTGATGAATTTTTTTTGTGTGTGTTCAAGGGGATCTGGGAATGGTTTAGATTCACAATTTTGTCCGCTGGACAATGTTTTTTTAATTAATTTTTAATTTATTAGTAGTTGTTGATTTTGGAATGTTTTACATTGGATCAGACAGACGGCGCTACCATCGCAGTGTCAAATTTGACAGAACAACGTCTGTCGGGTCCGCTAGTCTCCATGTAAATACATAGTATAAATACCAAGCCACGCCTGAGTGCCACCACTGTGATGGCCAGACCGTGGACACGGCTCTCCACACGCTGGCAGAGTGCCCGGCGTGGGTTGAGCAGAGGCGAGACCTCGTGGCGGCCATCGGAGTGGGAGTTCTCTCGCTCGATAGCCTGATTGCGGCTATCGTGCGGAGCGAGAGTGCGTGGAACTCTGCCGTCTCCTTCTGCGAGCAAGTTATGCTCGCGAAGGAGACGGCGGAGCGGGACCGGGAGATGTTTAGAACTCTCCCGGCCCGCCAGGCCCGGGCACGGGCCAGGCAGCGCAGGCGACTCAGGCGCCGGAGGTCGCAGAACGACCTCCGTCCTCCATAAGCGCAGGCCTGGGGGTGACAGGTGAGGCCATCTGTCACCCTAGCAGAAGCAGGCCGGGGTGGCGGCGAGCGCGTTGCGAAGCGCGCTCGCTTCCAGGGAGCACAGGGAACATGGGGTTCCCACACGGGCGGGGGTCGTCTACTCGTCTGTAGATGACCCGAGGTATGTCGGGGCACCAGGGCCTTCCTTTCTAGGGTATACCTGGTTCCCCGGCTATTAGTACCCGGCGAAGGCGTGCGGTTTTAGTCGGTTCGAGTCCGACATGCCACCGAGAGGTGGTATCCGAGGGGATTTCCGCACGGAAAAAAAAAAAAAAAAAAAAAAAAAAAAAAGGGTAATTGCACGATTAAAAAAAAACATCGTTTTTTCGTTCGACATCGGACCTCTGACATACAACGCCATCTAGTTCCAAACTAAGCAGAGCTTGTACTATGAAAGTTAGATTGGCTGATAGAATACTCACATACTTCTTTTTGTAAATACATACATATTATGCATAGAAAACACACTAAACAAATATTTACAGATCGTACAAACATTTGGTCCAACCCGGGAATTGAACCCGAGACATCAGCACAGCAGTCGTATAGGCTACCACTGCACCACCGACTACACTGTTCTGTGTAAATATATAATTAAAATCACACAAGGATACCATAATATTGGGTAAATTCTTCATTTTGAATAAAAAAATATTTTGCAATCTACTAAAATAGTTTTCTGGTTGTGATTACGTGATAGCCGAGTAGATTAACACGTTGTGAAGTTAAGCAATCCTAGCCAGGTTAATCTATGGATAGATGACCATTCTTAACACATTAAGACCCCTCCGTACTTCGGAGAACACATTAAGGCGTCGGGCCTGGTTGCCATACCAATATCCGTGACAATCTTTACGTTTAGTTGGAGCCCTAAGTTCAACATAAGTCTAGTGGATTTACTGTGTTTCCAACTCCTCCAATTTTCTTCTGATTAATTTCGTTGCGGGTTCCAAGACAGTTTAATTTCTTCCTGGGACTTCCCGAGTGTCATAACTCGGTGTGTTCGTGGGTCACTGTTGTGGATCCTGGTGTACAGGAGTTACAGTGGTGGCCGTGTGGGTGGGATTAGTCCCAATAAAAAAAGTAGTCTAGATACAGAACTTTGATATTGCCTAGTACTTGGGTTGTGGAGGCCTGATGGTAGTCGCTCCGCGTAAGTCAAAGTTCAGCCTAGTTTGGGAAAAAAGGCTCGGAGGAAGAGGTTTTTTGGGAACATTAAAATTTTTATTATTTTTTAGTGTAGGTTTCTTTTCTTAGGAGAGACCTATGTCCAGCAGTGGACTGTTAAAGGCTGTTGATGTTCATGTGTCGTGGGTTACTTTACAAACATGCATGAAACGGACACAAAAAACACCTAGACTCAAAACAACAATTTGTGGATCACACAAAGTGTTGTACCATGTGGGGATGGAACCTACTACAGTCAGTCAGTCAGTCATGTGATAGTATAGGGAGCAAACGCGCTTGCGGGTCACCAGATAGTAAGTGACCACCGCCGTCAACGGACACCTTCTACTTAAATGGCGCCTACTAGCTGTAAAGTCCGACTTGTAAAAATATCTAAAAAGATTTACTTACAGAAATAAATTTAATAAAATTCTACCACATTCACACAACACCGTCTAGTCCCAAACTAAGCAGAGCTTGTACTATGGGTACTAGACAACTGATATAAATACATATATATTTTTTTTTTATAAATAAATACTTATTATACATAGAAACACCCAGACCAAATCAAACATTAAATGTTCATGCACACAAATGTTTGACTTGAGCGGGAATCGAACCCGCGACCTTTGGAATAGCAGTCCGTTACACAAACCACTACGCCATCCGGTCGTCAAATAAATATCAATTATAATTTTAATTTAATTACAACTCACTCCATGAAACGAAACAACGAAACTAAACACTTACTGAACAATTACTGAAAAGGTTTTCTGTGAGGCCATGATTTTCCATAACACATATGTTTGTGTGTGTCAATACGTGTATTTTTTCTAAAAATAAATGCGAATAAGAATCTTACCTTTTGCTCCCTTTGACCCAAAGCGGTCTCCAAAGGTACGGGTCACTTGTATAATTGATAGAAATGACCCTGGCTCCTGGGAAGTCTTCTTTAATCCAGTCTCTTGGCCAGCACGAGGAGTAACAGTCATCACAGACGCATCCACAGCCCACGTCACACTTATTCAACTTAAATTCTTCACTTACACTACAATCACATTTATTTAATTTACAATTTCCATTAATTTTACACTTGCACTCGTTGATAGTGTTACATTTATTGCTATTTCCATATAAGTTACACGTATCTATATTTAAATCACAGTTTTTATTGCAGTTATTTTTAAACAGTTCTGTAACGAATTTCGCTTGAGTTTCGTAATTATTTACATTTAAAAGTGTATTGTTGTAAAAATTTTCAGTTATTAAAGAGTTTTCGTGCGGTAGGATCTTTTTTAGGCAACCGTTGAATTGTTTAAATGAATCTGTTTCATTTATTTCTGTTTCATTTAAGTTGGTTTCGTATGTGAAGTGTATGTTGTTGTAGGCTTCTTCTTGATTTCTTTTGCAGTTGCATGCATTGGACGTGTGGTTCCTCAGAGGCACTTTTGTTGGGTCCAGCTTGTACTTTGATCTCCAGTCACCCTGACGCCACGTGTTGCCCAAGGAGCCTGATTTGAAAAGACAAAAAATTACCGACTCCAATGCGTCAAGATTTGTGCTTAACCATATTTTTCATTATTTTATTTTCCCCAGGGTTGGTATTTTATTTTTCCCCCTCAAAAAAAATACCAAAATGGTTTACAGCTGACGTATTTCTGAGTAAACAAACATCAAGAGAAATAAAACTGCAATAAGAATCCTAATTTTTTGAAATTGTTTAAAAATTGAGTGTTCTTTTTTACTTCTGTCGTAATAGATATTTACAGTTACAAATGCATAAAGAGGGACAGATTTATAATGTAATATAATATTTTCCATAAGGGATATCAAAAATTTCGAGTTCCTCCTTTTAAGTGCTGCACTTTTCCATCTCCCTGACGATGACGTGATCGTAATGAGTCGGACTGCCCCAAAATACGTTACTTCACCCTAGTTTAATTACTAAGAACCATTTCATTTTGGACCCTGACCAGATGAATTTTTCCACTGATGGGAGAGTCCTACAGCCACAAGTTCAAACCTAGTCAAGCATTTTTGGCAACGAACTGTCTGTTTTCTGATCATCTTTCCAATGCCTTCTTAAGACCTTCATATTACGAGTAAAGTCTCTGAAAAGTTATATTATTAAATTTTTACCAGAAAGCACTTCTTCAAAGTCAAAGTGTCAGTACCTTTAGCAATGAGACTAATCTTCTCCTGATCTTCCAATAATATATGACAAAAGAAGAACAGAACAGAATAATAAGCTTACCATAAAGCCCATGAACAAAGATGACATCGAGTGTTGGGGACTCGGGTGTATGCAACACCACACACTCCACCTTCGGCTCTGGGTGGAGATGATCAGTTCCAGCTTGGCGCGGCTTCGTTGTCTGCTTGGCTGCTGAAAGAAGATAAGAGAGAGTTATTTTCGTAGTAATTTTATGAAATAGTGTTTTTTTAACCGAATTCAGTAAGGAGGTTATCAATTTGGATGTTTATATTTTTTAATGTAAGTTCGGACATAACTCTGTCATATACAAAAATATTTTTTTGTTCAAAAGGGGTTTATTCCGAAATAGTCCCATTCAAATTTCAAATAGATCTGTGAGTTTCGGAGACAGACAACGGAACTCTTCAAAAAATGACAGCAAATCAACCGCGATTGCTGCTAGGGTTTTTAGTGCTTTTTGTTAGTGTTGTTTGAAGTCGTTTCAACTTTTTTTAACCAGGATTTTCTTTTATTATTTACGGTCATGGGGCAAAAGAGCATACACTTTTCGAGTGCTTCCCAGGGTTAGGAAAGAGGATATTAGACCTTCGTTAATCTCACTCAGTGGGAAGCAAAGAAAGAACTGCTTAACATAGATTTTGGTTTGACTGGCCTGTTGGTCTAGTGGTTCGTGACCCTGACTGCTACGCCAGAGGTCGTGGGTTCGATTCCCACCAAGAACAAATATTTGTGTGATGAGCACGGTCATTTGTTCTGTGTCTGGGTGTACTTTATCTATAATATGTACCTATATATTTAGAAATATATAACTATGTGTATCAGCAGTCTGGTTACCATATCATAGGCTCTGCCTAGTTTGGGATCAGACGCCACGGAGCACGATTGGAGCTGAAATCTGTATAACTACGAAACATTCAATCTGTCGTATTCCCACCGACATATACGAGTACATAGCGTGAGATAATCGAACAATGATACTGTGAAAACGTAAATATTACTTCAAATCTCGTCACTATTGCGTCGTGATAAGAACTAGTTCAGTTTATCAATTAAGTTGTATGTTTAATTTAGGAGATAGTGTAAGAAAAATGTACTCTACCTAGTTTGGGATCAGACGACGACGCGTGTGAGATGTGTGAAAATTTTATTATTATTATTTATTGTATTTTATTATTATTATTTTGTGTAGGACGCCCACAGGCCAGGTGGAGTGACGATTTGCGCAAGATGGCTGGCAGGAGCTGGATGCGAGAAGCCCAAAATCGATCTAAGTGGCGTGCAATGGGAGAGGCCTATGTCCAGCAGTGGACTGCGATAGGCTGATGATGATGATGATGATGATGATATTTTCAGTGTGGCCGCGGTATCACTCCGGTCGAGCTGAGACTACAACAACAACTAATAATCCTCGACCATCTGTCGAATGATAGACTGTCCTTCCGCCATTACTACCGATCCCAGACAGTATCCACAGTATTCATGTATTGGTTGTTCCAAAAGCCAACCGCTTTAAGCTTTAAAATGACTGGAAATCAGTGTCTTGGACGAGAAACCTGGCTGTCCCATCACTGATTTTGTGATTTCTAATCAGAGTTAAGAAAAAATAGGCCAACTGTATGTAATAGTATCCTCAACAGACTTTAATGAGAATCGTATGCTAAACATTTACTCTGTACTATGTTTATGAAATACTTTAAAACTAAAGAGAGTACGACCTACGATGGTACGGTTGACCTGGCCAAAGATCCAGCGTCACAATCGAAGTCTTATACGGAAAAGTTCAATGTAACTTTGCCAGTTTACTAAAGTATCTAGCTAAAACAAACCTTTGTATCGACAGCCATGATTCATAACTCCAGTATGATAAGTACAAGACACATTTGTTTTGAATACAGAATGAATCATTGAATAATACAACTCGGTGTAGAAACTGCATACTTTTATACTGTAACTAGCTGAGCCGGCAAACGTTGTTTTGGCATATACATACATTATTGTTGTATTCAATGCTAAATCATAAGAATGTAAAAATTATCAAAAAAATTAAAATGAAAATTTAGGGGTGGGTCACCCTTATCAGTTAGGGGTATGACACAGACACAGAATTTCATAAAAATCGGAATAGCCGTTTCGGAGGAGTTTGGTAACAAACAGCGCGACACGAGAATTTTATACATTAGAAAAATAACTAGACACATCTCACACATGGTCGTCTGATCCCAAACTAGGCAGAGCCTGTACTATGGTAAGTCTACGTACACTAACAATACTTTGTGTTAGTGTGCGTACACTGTTTGCACAGAATATACATGTAGTTATTACTTTTGTGCGATACCTACTACCTTAACCTTTGACAGCTGATTGCAAAAAAAGTTTTTTATTATTGAAATAATGGTTGGGATATCACGATATCAGTCAAGACACACGCCGCAGCTCACTCACGCAGTGCCAGTAATCAGTCGCTCTATTATATCTACCCACTATTAATTTATGTATTGTAACAGTTATTTTTTTTGTATATTTGTAATGCGTACGGTCTTGTTAAAAGCGTCACCTGTTGGCCGCATCGCGTTGTTGTTGATTTATCTAAAGTAGTTTGTAGCTGCGGTATGGATCTTCTTCGTTCACTTTCGGACCACTAGATGTTCGGACAGTAACAATAGACACCTGTTCGGATAGTAACAATAACTCTTGATATTCACGATAGGAACATGTCTATTATGTAATGATGTCAGATCTTCAAAAAAAGAATATCTTTCATTCAGAAAAAGAACAAAAGAAGTCGTAGATAAATCAATTCTACGTGAAGTTATCAGAATCATATTTATTTGCAAAAATTTTGTGACATTTTAAAGTCTGCTTCCCTCACTGTTTTTGGCAGTTTATTGTATATTAGGGATGCCATATGGAAAATCCTTTTACGCAACAATGCAGTATTAGTTTTACGCATACAAAGTCGATGCACATCTCGCTGTCGGCTGTTATATAAATCTGAAGCTAACATAAATAAACCTGGATTACGTTTAACAAACGTTAGCGGGAAGAGATAGTATTATATACTTTAACGAGCGAAAACGAGTGGACGGTCTTCTGATGGCTAAATGCTCGATCGACACATGACCGCGTTCGCCGGTACGATTGGCCCGCACTGAAATCTCCACCAATCGCAACGTTAAACGAGCTCGCCGTTGAGACTGAGCCTCTGAGTCAGTGAGTAGCACCGCCCATGGACTCATGTAATTCAAGAAACACAGGTACGTTGCAGCTTTTGAGTACTCTCAGATTATGGGTACCGAAGCCTAAATCTCCCATACCCGTACCCATAATCGGTGAAAAACAACGATTTTTTTTTATATAAAGGCAATTCCCCCATTATGAACATACCCTATGTCGCGGGGAACTTTACAAACATACATGAAACTGACACAAAGAACACCCAGACTCAGAACAACAATTTGTCCCATGTGGGGATCGAAACCTCAGCACAAAGTTGTTTCTGTGAGGCCGTGGTAACACTACCGTCTTTATGTGCCGGAGTATGTCTCTCCAACGATCTCCTATTAGATCAGTACACATCCTTTTCAAACAGCCCCATTCAGTCTGTTATGTGGTACTCACCAGCGATTGGAGGCAGCGGCGCCATGACCAGTCGGTGCAGGAACACGGAGGCTGTACTCCACAGACACGACATACACCAACGTCTGCGGACAAACATTATCACAGTTATAAGGGCAATAATGATTCGACTTTGAGGTGATCGAGGGGGGGGGTGGGGGGGGCTGAAATAACATGGTCTGGGTCCTCCCTAGAGCAGGGTGCCTGAGACCAGCTGTCGGGGTGGTTTTTAGTGGAAACACCACATACTACATCCATTATTTATCAGGCTATTTACGAGTATAACCAATTTACCTACGGGCACAGCAGAAAGAAAAACTCTGAATGTTATATTTTTTTTTGTTATGTTACATAAAGAAACGAGCGAGGCTGTGTGAGTGTGTATGTGAGTGTTTGATTGCGTGCGTGCGTGTGTGTGTGTATGATATCTATGTATTTGTATACGTATCTAGTAGGTTTATAGTTTACCTATATACAGTAATTTGTACGATTTGTACGTTTTATTGCGCATAATGGTGCCAATTGAGGAGACACGGCCCTCACTGGGCCACCCACAGCCAATAAATACATAACGAAGACAAGTAGATCATAGAGAAGGAATGTTATCTTCTTGTCCCGAGTTATGCCTGATATTACTACAGATGTTACGTCATCTGCCTCGAAGACGAGCTAAGCGAAGCGCAAGGGTACGACCTGCCTTTTTTCGAAGTTCTTCGTCGTTTTTTTGAACCCGTACAACTTGGGTTTGTATTATACCAGACAGACCAAATTTTGGGGATATGATGTCGATAGTGGACTTATTAAACGTATAAAGTTTCAATTCCATAGAACAGAGACTATTTGTTATAAATAATATATTGTCATAAGCAACTTACAAAAGAAGCGAATTGTAGTAACGAAACCGCCAAGCCACAGTTTGACTAAGGGATAGAGTTGCATTGTAGAGTTAAGTCGTGTAGAGTTAGAAGATACAGATACCCTGGGTTTGGGCAATTCTGAATTACAAATTATTTGACTTAACTAAAGTCTTGACTTTCTAGCTAGATTGACTGATAGAATACGTACATCATCATGATAGAATAGTTATAATCATCGAGTTATAGCGCTCGCCATTCACAGTAACAGGGTTTCCTTCGTCACTTTCGTAATAATTTTGGACAATTTCCAAGCTTTGGTTTAAAGTGAAACGTGACATGATAAAATGGCAAACCTTACTGAACACAAATGTCAAGAGACGTCAAAGATCCATCATCAAACATGGCCGCTATGAGCTGTCAAAACCAGGTCATCCCATCCCATTGGTAGACCCAGTACTTTTTTGTAAATACACACATATTTTACTTAAAAAACATCCAAACTTCGAAACAAATATTTGCAGATCATAATCGGACCCGAGACCTCATCACAACAGTTGCATACCACCGCAAGACCGAGGCAGTCAAAAGAGAGAGAGTCTTTTAATTCGAATCGTTCGTTCAGAGTTTCAAGAAGTTAAAAGAATCTTTTAATTCGAACTAATGATTCCTGAGATTAGCGCGCTCAACCAAATAAACACAAGCGTGTGTTTATTATATCCTTAGAAAGGAGGTTTTGACCCACTATACACCACGCTGGCCCGACGGGTTGGTGTAAGGTTTGTTTCAAGTTTTCCTTCTCGATGCAGTGCTGTTGTTGCGTAATTTACTCCCTTAGTCGGCTCTTACGACACCCACGGGATGAACAGAGGTGGTGACCCTCCGTATTCTTAATCCGTAATCTCACAGACAACAGTTCAACCTTGCGTGCGAAACCGTGCATAATAACTAGTGGTATTATATAAATAGAAACAAGTGTACGGCCAAGGTTGAGAAGCCTCTCAGTTAAAGTGGATTATATAACGTGTTTGCCTAATGGGGTGTGCTCCCCCCATTGCTCAAAGACACATGCAATCTGGCTTAGGGAAAATCGGTAGTATACTCGACCTATTTAACATGTGGCTCTAGCGACACTATCACAGGTTCGATTCCCGCTTAGTGACAAAATTTGAATGCATAGAAATGTCTATTTGTATTGGTCTAGGATTCCTAGTCTAGTAGATATACGTCCGTGAGGTGACGGATTACGAATACAGTGTCACCACCCCTATTTATACCGTAGGTGTCGTAAGAACCGCCAACTAAGGGAGAAAACTACGTAGGACAATTTAACAGCACTGCAAAGAGAAAAAAAAAGTTTGAAACAAACCCTATACTAACTCATATGGCCAGCGTGGTATAGTATGCCAAAACCTCCATTCTAAGGAGAGGCTATTAAAGGCTGTTGATGATGATGATAACAAGGTTTTTGAACGTATATATCACTATATATTTATAATAAAGTTAAATAATACAGTTGTATTGAGAATATAAACGTCACGAGACTCACTCAAACAGAGGTGATCCATATCAGACCGTCTGTTTAGGATGTAATTTACTGATTCACTTACAAAAAAGTTACATATATGTATGTAAAGATTTAAGAACGTTTAAATATTACAATGACTTTTAAATTGCGCAATTTGTGAAGGTCAGTTGTTGGGCGGTGAGTGAACATTATTTCAAAATTAATAGATCTATATTTACTTAAATTGGCTCGTGGCTAAGTGGTAGTAGCAGATTAGCATATTAAGCTAAGCAATCATAGTATGGTCATTCCATGGATTGGTAACCATTCTTAATATTGGTCTAGTGGTTAACGATCCTCACCGCTAAACCGGAGGTCGTGGATCCCACCCAGAACAAATACTGTGTGATGAGCACGGTCATTTGTTCTGTGTCTGGGTGTAATTTATCTATAATATGTATATATTTAAAAATATATAAGTATGGTTATGAGCAGTCTCTTTTTTTTATGTTAGAGGTGGCAGACGAGCAGACGGGTCACCTGATGGAAAGTGACCATCGCCGCCCATGAACGTCTGCAACTCAGGAGTCACAAACGCGTTGCCGGCCTTTTAGGAAGAAAATTTACACAACTGATGTTGGAATCATACTCACTAAGGGTGGTTCTACACGGTAGAAGTAGAAGGACCGGGCGAAGACGTGGGCTATTGGTCAGTAGCATGCGCGAGTTGCTTGCACGTATGGTTGGTATTATGTGCATGCTGCTTGCGCAGGTAACCCGTACCCGCAGGTAAAGTGGCTCGCGTGCACCATGAAGGTTGCGGGTTACCTACGCGAGTAAACGGATGGCGTAGTGGTTTAAGCGCTACTACGCTACTACTACGCTGAGTGTTGTGGGTCTGATCTCTACATGGGACGACACTTTGTGTGATCCACAAATTGTTGTTCTGAGTCTGGGTGTTCTTTGTGTCCGTTTCATGTATGTTTGTAAAGCCCCCCCACGACACAGGATATATTCCTAATGCGGGAGTTGTCTTTAAAACAAAAAAAAAACAAACCAGAGTAACCCGCGCTTGTTGCTGGACCCGCACAGTCCTTTTCGCGTAGCACATAACCTACGCAAGTGCTACAACATGCGCAAGCTACTTGCATCGTGTAGAAGCACCTTAAGAAATATATTTTTGTAGATTTCATCCCTAAAAGGGTAAAATAGGGGATGAACTGTTGTATAAAAGTTCATCATTTTCAAAGTTAGAAACGCAATAATCTATAGTAATGTTAAAGATGGATGTAAGAACTAGATACAGCCAGATATGATGCAATGAACAGACACTGTACTAGAGAGACCTTCACAAAGTCAGTCATGTGTGACAGCACGTGGTTAAGACGACCCAAGCCATAGTTTGAGACAAATACCTATAGTTTTATTTACTCCGGTCCTGTCTTTTAAACACTAGAGATCGCTTGGCGGTTTTATTTAATTGACCGGTATAACTCAAATGTCTGACTTGTAAGACTGATGGTGACACATCAATAAATATTTGCAACTTTTTTGCACATAAATGTTAACTTTGTGCACTACTGTTTTTTATAATATATCTCACACATAGTTTTCCAAAAAACTTTTTTTATGGTTAGGTGTACCCCTTTTTAAAGGTAGTTTTGAAAAATTTCATCATCATCAACAGCCTATAGAACACAATTTTAATAGTCAACTGCAGGACATAGGTCCTTTCCTTAGAAATAAGGTTTTGGCGTACTATACCACGCTGGCCAGACGGGTTGGTATAGGGTTTGTGTCAAATTTTCCTTCTCTTTGCAGTGCTGTTGTCCTGCGTAGTTTGCTCCCTTAGTCGGCTCTTACAACACCCACGGGATGAATAAGGGTGGTGACCTGCCGTATTCTTAATCCGTCACCACACGGATAGAAAAATCTGTAACAACGTTTTTTATTACTTTTATTAAAGAAAAAAATCCTTTCTTAACACACCTACGTCACCTAAGAAAGATTTGTGCAAAATTTCATGCTTCTAGACCCAATGGTTTCACCTGTGAGTTAATCAGTCTGTCAGTTCTTTTTAAATAAATAGATAAGAATGACCAAATGTGTTGCTAAGCGCAAAATTCGAGAACGGCTCGATCAATTCGCCTATTTTTTATCATATGTTCGTTAAGACACAAGGAAGGTTTTTTTCAAAAGAAAAAGCAAGAACTACGAGGGAAAGTAAAAACAACACTCTGCTGCCCGAAATAAAGTTCGAAGAAAATTGATCACTCCGAAATACGTTTTTTTTACTTATTTTTTAAATCAAAAAAGAAAAATGAATAAATATTTATTTAGAAACACAAAGAAAAAAGTACAGAAGTGCTTAACCAGACATAAAATAAGTGTAGCAGATCTTATCAGATAAATATTTAACGCGGACCCCACACTAGGCACGCCTATCGTGTATGTCGTCCTAAACGTATTTACAATAAGGTATACAGTTTTTTTCTATTAGACAGCGATAGGCCAATAACTTTTGTCAGAACAAAGTGTATTGGGGCAGCTGCTTTCTAAATAATAATTTAAAAACACCATAGTGTGTTAGAAATTACAATTTTAATACAATATTAATGTGGAAGCTTGTAAATGGCATCTAGATAATTAACATAATATGTATTCTCCCCAAATATAATAAAATAATAAAATAAAATAAAATAAATAAATAATACATTTCGATGAAGGACATTAGATATG